CATCAAACTGGTCGTTAAATCCCCCCAAAAAAATTGGTCTGTTACAATAAAGAGATCAATTGACCCAAAAAAATACAGTTCGACCAAACTTACTTAAGCAAAATTTTAAGAGTAATTGTGCGCCAGAGTGCAAGGAGACGAGGGATGATGGTTTTTTTAATATAATAAAATGATTGTATGCATCTGTCGATGAAGAGGCCGGAGGTACTTCTTCTTTTCCAGAAAAAAAGGTATGGACGCTGCACAAAAAGGCAATTCCAACCGATCAAGTTGACTTGACCAGCAGCAACACCACAACGAGCTACGCAACGGCAGCACAACATATTACTCCCCTCCGTTCAAAGAAAAGAACTAGGGAGAGGGAGAGCACAACTGTGGCTAGTGGACAGTGGTGCATGCATACGCAAACATCAAAGGCATCACTACCGATGCGAACATAGCTACCCTGCTTGCACAACCACGGATCTGCATCCTCTGACATAACCCCGTGAGCCCATGCAGAAGAAATATTTGTTTTTAAGCCCAATGTCAGAGGATGCTTGTGCGCACCGCCACCCATCTCCAGGTTACCGGCTCACGGGGTCGGAAGTGCTGGACTCGGGGCGTCCAACTAGGAGGAAGAGACCCACCCACCCCCTGCCTCGTCGTATTTCGTCGTCGAGGACAGGCATGAAGCATCAACGGGAGCGACCACCGCTGCGCCAGACGACGAGGAAGCGAGGGTCGTCTCTCGTCGGCAGAGCGTGTAGGTGTGCATCGCCGGCTAACCTCCTCGGCATGCACCTGTGTGGACCGTGGCGCCACGGGGTGGGGATGCGCCGCTGGTCCAGAAGACAGCCGTGTGGCAGATTCACATCCGGGTACTGCAGGGGTTAGCGGTACTCCCAGTGCCACCGCGCCTGGTGGACTGGGATGTACAACCGCACTCGCTCCTACGGTGGCGTGCCGCGTCTAGTCGACGGTGGTGGAGGAGGGATCCCGCGAGAAGAGCTCGCACCGGCGCCGATCCCCCCTTTCCCCTCCCCTTCCTATTGAAGAAGTCCATGCCTTTCCTAGGGTTTCGGGTGTGCTGGCTGGCTAGAGTTTTATGGTCTTCGGCGAGGGAGCAAAGGTGGCCAGATGTGGACGGGAAGTGGATGAGGTCGGCCCCCCCGCACGCATCCATTAAAAAGGACGGGCACGCGACCCTTCCACACACTGTCAGGTGGGCCCTCGGTAGGTGGCCCAGTCGGATCGAACCCCTTTCTTGTGGGTGCGAAATACCATGACGGTGTCTAAATATAGATTTCCATGGTATTTGACAGAGATGAAGAAATCCGTAGTGGTCGCGATATTAATATATTCTCCTTATTGAAAAATAAGAGAGTTATAGTGTTTAGCATTGGCTAAAGCCTGCAAATCTAGATCAGGGTATGTGATTCTACTAAAAGTCGTGTGCGTAAATATGGACACAAAACGTCTGCAGGCACGCCCCGAATGCGTCCGCGGACAGTGACCGGAGGACACCAAATAGTTACAGACATGCGCGTATGGGGCAGGATGCGCCATCTTTTATGCACTACTATTCCTAGTCGGATCATATTGGTCACGGTGATGTGGCCAGGCGTTGCAGCTTAGCGAGGCGCCACTCTCCCATCGTGGACTCCACCATGAGGGCTTCCACGGCCTCCCCTGCCATGTACCGTTCACAGCAGGCATGCCTTGCATTAGGAGCGTACTAGCAGTAAGCCATGCCGGCATTTTACCTCCGGCTTGTAGCCAGGCCCCGTGGGGATTGCACGCTACCGAAGGGGTTGCCCCGTCGCCCTGACGTTCAAGCGTCAGACAACCCACACCGCCTTCGACAATGCAGCGATCACACACCCAACGCTATCAGCCCCGTGGTCCCAAGTGCCAATTGTGCAGACCCAAAGAGGTTCCAACAATGTAAAACGAAGGTTCTTGTGCAACGATCAACTTATAGAGAGGCTCTTGCACACACACAAAAGGGCGCCCTTGGATGGATATGCACGGTTCCAACAATGTAAAACGGAGGTTCTTGTGCAACGACCAACTTATAGAGAGGCTCTTGCACACACAAAAAAGGGCACCCTCGGATGGATATGCACGGTTCGGTCAATGTAAAATGGAGGTTCTTGTGTAATGACCAACTTATGGAGAAGGCTCTCGTGCACAGAAAAAGGGTGCCCTCGGATGGATATGCACGGTTCCGACAATGTAAAACGAAGGTTCTTGGGCAACGACCAACTTATAGAGAAATCTCTCATGCACAAAAAAAGATGCCTCTAAACGGTCTCAAAAGCCTGGACGGGCAGACCGGTCACTGACCGGTCAAAGAAAACCGACTCAATCGGGCATCTCAAACCGCCACCCAAACGTCTGGGCTGACCCGCACCCCTCATATCCAGCCCAAATCCGGGCCGGATATGGGGCAGCCCATTCACTGTGGATGGACGCATCCAGGCGCGTCCACGGAAGTTTGAATGTCCGGATTTGGTGTCCTCAGCTGTAGATGCTCTAATGCCCATTCGGAGCCCAAAAGATAAAAAAAATGTGTAAATAAAAAAACAATATTGAGAAAACATAAAATTATAAAGAACAAAAACTTAGAAGCGTGAGTTTTCAAACAAGACAATGCTAGTGGGCTGGGACGATCCAACCCCAGAGAGGACGTGCCAAGATGTTGTCCTCCGTGAAGTAAACGCTTTGTTACTATGCATGTGCCCGTCGAAGAAAATGTTTTTTCGGAGAAAAATGATTTTGCTTTTACGATGTGCCCATATGCATCCTTCCTCCACGAACCTATCCCTAGGGTTTCACGGGAGATAGCGGGCGTGTGCTCCTAGGGCAGAGCCAGTATTTGAGCACAAGGGGAGTACATGTTTATATTTTTTCTAGCGCATATAAGCACAATGACTGATGCACGTTTGGCCATTACTTATCTAAATTTAGCTGTACTATACCTACAAGATTTGTACTAGGAGCTGATAATCTCATCAGAGTTGATTCCAAATTTACAGCGCGAGGGTTTACAAATTGAAGCACGTGGTTTAGAAACAAAAAAAGTCCGTTCTTTTGCTTCATTTGTCCAATAGAAAGTAGAGCTAATATAAAAACGAAATATAAAATTAGATTTGTATTTCTCATCTGGTCTCATGTTTGGCCATTACTTATCCAAAAGTAGATGGTTTATGCAATTTCCTGGGCATTGTAATGATTCAACACTTAGCGACTCCGAGAGATATCTATCGGTCCAAACGCCCCAGGTCCTCCATAGTTTTTGCAGCTGCCAGCCATGTCCAGCGGTACCACCACCTCGTCTCGATTCGCGAGTGGCAGGAGACCTCTCGGGCTCTCCCCCACGCTGAGAACCCCCTGGACTATGAAGCTTGCTATTTTTTGCAGCTGCGGCGCCAAGCAGCTCGCCTGACTTTTCGGACAAACGTCTACCCCGGCCGGAGATACCTACCGTGCTCACTGGCGACGGTAAGCCACCG